TGAAGATGAAGCTAAAAGTTATTTTGTATTTATGAATTAAAATGCAATTGCTTATCACAACTGCTAGTATTACTTTATCAGGTAATTCAGGGGGAGAGAAATATTGTTTAAAAAGTATAAGTATACAATCTAATGTTTTGTACAGCAATCTTTCTCTTTCATGGCTTTTGAAATAGTATAAAAATGTATAGTGAATTAATAACATCAATCAATTCAGGGATGCTTTTTACCTAAGCTAGTGGAATACCACGGTAGAGCACTTGGTTTTACCTACCTGATTACTTCAATGTTATCAACACCATCTTGGCAATATGAGGCTGAATATTTGCATTCATTTTGGTACAAGTAGCATGTTGCTACACAACTGATTAAAGGTCATAATTATGAGGACAGGACTAGATATATTTACATCTTAGTGCTAGTTCAAAAAAAGAGAAAAATACATATTATTACGCTTACCTTGCCTTAATTTGAAAACCTGTAACTAATATTACAACCTGCATTCAGAGTATTTCTGGATATTTTGATATAAAAATATTATTCTTCCAGTTTCTGTGATAGATGGTACAGAGAAACACTAGAGGGTTTATAAACATGACAGTTTTGTTCATATATATATATGAACATATATATATATATATGTATATTTATAGTATGCATATCTATAGTTGATTTCTTTCTTATGTATTAATTCAGAATTTCAAGTATGAACATTATGTGTTTTGATCAAATCTACCATCACTCCCTTTTCTCAAACTACCCCGATCTCTACTCCCATATTTTTTTCCCTCTGAGAGTATATACATAGGATCATTCACCTGGAGCATGAGTAGCCAGTCTTCCTAAGAATAACTGACCATCCCACTCCCCAAGCACCTGACAATTACAAATACCTCTTGAGCATGGAGTGGTGTTTCCTGAAAACTCGCCAATCCATACTAGCAATAGGTTGTTTTGCTCATGTGTGGGTCTTGAATGTACAGTCTCTGGCTGTTGTGAGCTCCTGTGTAACCTGAAAAGTCCAGAAACTGCTTTGCAACAGTCCTGAACTGTGCTTGGCTCTAACCATCTTTTTTCATGAACCTGTTAATAAGAATAATAAAACTTTTTATGATAAAAGAAGATACCACAAACCTAGCATGTGATGCTTTGTATGTCCTTTAGATGGCCTATCATCTCAAATAAATGTTCAGAAAAAAATCATTGCAAAGTAAAATGTTTTCAGTGTTTAAATCTAAGTAAACTACAGATAGCTTCATTTTAAATGAATGCACAACAGCTATTGGGAGAAAACTTGAGTATACACACCTGACAAAATAAAGAAGTGAGAAGATGATGCTTACCATAGTACAATCATGAGCACTATAATAAACAGTTTAAGTTTCTCTTACACCATTTGTTTTTCCAAAAATAATATGCAAAATAAAAATGATAGTTTATACCTTTTACTACGAATCACAAATGTAAAATTTTTCCCAACCTCCTATTCCCTTCTCTGACTCATCAATATATACACATGACCAAAATCTCTAGTTTCATAATTTTAATATCAATAATGAGAAAATAGCATTGACAAATTTAATCCTATAAATGCCCTTTCCATGTCTGTTATTTTACTTTAATAAGACAGAATAAGACTCAGGGGCAGACTTGTAAACACTCCAATGTCTTAGTGGGACTATTAATACATCTCAAATTCAAAACATATATAAAATTCCAAGGGTCTAATAAAATAGAGCTTTGGATTCCCTGCATGTGTAGTGAATGTCTTATTAACAAGTTGACTACATTTCATGGATAATGTTTTCTGGGCAGATATCTATAAACCATTCACACTTTCATTTCATCTTCCAGAAATTACATGCACAGTTTGTTCAATTTGCATATGGAATAGAACAAAATCAAATTACACACTCAACACACACACACACACACACACACACACACACACACACACACTCACACACACACACGGGTCATGCTGTATTTTCACATCCAGGAGGATACTGCTGTAGATGGATTCTTCCATCAAAACCCTGTAGTAGTTGGTGGATAACTGAGACTAAACAAGTATCAGCAAATGCCCACACTTGAGAAGAGACAAAATAAAATGTTTTGAATCATATATTTCCTAGATGATTATATATTGTCCTAGATGATCTGGGCATCACAATTTTGTCTTGAAGCATAAAACCAACAAACAAAAAAGTTAGATGGGTAGGGAAGTGGGGCAAACCTGAAAAATAGTTGAGGAGATGAATGTGGTGAAAATGGATGAAACTGTCAAAGGAACAGTAATTTATCAATTGACTGATTAATTAAGAGTCAGACAGCAGAGGATTAAAGGGGAAGATGGAATGAGGACAGAGAAGAAAATCTGGTGATCAGGGAAAGTGAAGCAGAGGACATGATGAGTCATAGAACACTGCATGTATTTCTAGTCACCATGTTAAAATTCATCAGTATAATCACCTGACAATGTACAGACTATTGTTTGATAACCTCTTGAAGACAATAGTTAATAAACCAAAGCTGTTATACTTAATTAGTTTCCTCTTACTTCTTTGTGTTGAAATAAACTATTAGTTGACAACCACCTACAGACTAAGTTTTATTTCAAAAGAAACAAATACAAAAACCAAAGAACACATTGAGGAAAATGTTCTAAGTCTATAGAAAAATTGACTCACAGGCTACATGGCTTTGCAGTTAACTCTCACTTGATTTCTTCTATAATACTCTTTAAAATTAATTCATTTCAGAACCACATTTGCCTTTTAAATTTGTGATTAACATATAGAGTAAATGCTTTCCAAAGGTGAAACAAATGTTGCAGTGATCCATGAACATTAGAATTAAAGTTATATCTAGCAAAGCATAATTAGATGTTTCCTTTACTCCTGGCACTCATGTGAATGTATGCTGAGTTCAAAGTGTTAGGAAAACTCAAAGCATTCTTAACTAGTGGTGCTTACATTGTAGGAGGGTAAAAGCAACACTAGCATAATAAAATGCCAAGTGATGAGAAACTGGGGAGAGCATTTATTTATGTATTTTTTATTTATTGTATTTTGTGTAGTGAGAAGAAAATTCCATTGAACACACAGAGAGGTCGGAGAACAACTTATAGGAGTTGACTTTTTTCTCCATCACTTGGATCCCTGAGTCTAAATTTAAGGCATATAACTTGGCAGCAAATGCTTTTTTTTAAGTGTATTGAATTCTCAATTTGGATTTTTCCAAATTAAAAAAAAAGACAGTACTAAATATACTTCTCAGAAAAAATATAACAGGCACACATAAGAAGAAACAGAATACTTAGTGGAACTCCTAAGCTGTAAACAAACCCCTCTTCAAACACCTCCACCAGCTTATACTATGAATTAAACAACACACTCAGGACCAATATTTAAATCTAGAGTCATGTACACCACATTCCAAACAAGGAAATAAGTTTCTCTGCCTCTAACAATCAACAATTACCCTCCATTTCATTTCAGTTTCTATTCAAACTTATTCCAGAACTCATTTGGGTAAGTATGGTAACCTTACCTGGTCTGGTTTTGAGGGCATGGGCAACAAGACCAACTGAGACATTAACAAGAACTTTTAGGGAAAGTCTCTAATTACCATCTTATGCTTTTACAGAATTGGATATGCTTATCAGACATATGTGAAACACATGGGCAGTAGAGAAAAGATTATATCACTCAACCCTGTCAATCAAAATAGGGGAAAGACCCTTGATAGCCACCCTATCAATTATCTTCTCCTGCTGGATTTCATGACAAAAAAGCCTCAAACAACTAGAGCCCCTAAGTATGTTGTCTCTAAAGTAGCCTGCTGTTGGCTTGCAAAGATTTTTTCCCTCTGAACAATCACTGTGTTTTTGCACAAAGCAGTACGCTTCTTTGCAGTTTTTGCGTGTCTTTGTTTCAGTCCCATAAATAGGACACCAAGAATGTAGACTCACTGAGCACAGTTCATATATTAATCACATGTTTCTTTTGTGATGAGCAACTATTGAGCATTACTGTACAATTTCCCCATCCATTAGTTGAATGCATGAACTTCTAAATGGAAAGATGAATTAGTTCATCATTCTTGAAAGATATAAAGAGAATATTGTTAAGTCTCAAATCTAAGAAAATAGTCAATGTTAAGTATACAAAGAATTTCCTGCAGTCAATATAAAAATCCAGAGAGAGTTTGCCCATTGTATTTGGTTTTCAAAGCAATACAAAATGTCATATAGTGGAGATGCTGGCAAATAAACATGGATTCTAAAATACTCCATGAAAATCATGAAAAATTTGATCATGCAATAATTAAAATTTTCTTTTTATATGAAGTAAATATAGGTTATTGAATAATAATTATATATATACATATATATATATATTTATACTTTTTTACTTTAAGTGACTATAAAACACCTTTGTTTTAATCTAAGAATATTTGAAAATATTCCACTTTTGTAAAATAACAGCCATAGAATTTGTTTCCTTGTTCTAAGTAAACATAGAATTTCTGCAATCAGTAGTCTACTATAGGAATCATATATTTATTTTTATACTTTAGTAGAAATACATATTCAGAAGAACTTCATGTTTTGTATTTGTTATCAGTAATGAAAAAGTTTGCCAGATTAAAGTGAGAAATGCAAAACAGCCTCTACGTGTGTGTGTGTGTGTGTGTGTGTGTGTGTGTGTGTGTTTATGTATGAGAATAGGCATGTATGTATATGTAGGTCTTATGTGTGTTTGTGAGTTAGGTGTGTGTGTGTTTATATGTCAGTGTAGGTGTGTGTGTTTCTTCATATATGAGTTAGGCATGTGCATGTATATTGTATGATTTTGTGCAGTGTGTGTGTGTGTGTGTGTGTGTGTGTGTGTGTGTGTGTGTGTATGTTCATGTATGAGTTAGGCATGTGTTTGCCACCATACATTTGTAAATTTCAGATGATAACTTACAGTGTTTGTCCTTATTTTCAGACTTATTCAAACCAGGGTCTCCTGTCTTGATACTGTATCTGCGAGGCTATCTTGTTGGAACATTTCTGGGGATTCTCCTGTTTCCAGCACATTTTCTCCCTCTAGAAACACTGGGATTTCTGATGTTGAATAGCCACCTGAAACTTTATATATAATCAGGTAATTTAACTCAGGTCCTCTTGCTTGCCCACCAAGCACTTTTTACATACTGACTCATATCCCCAGGATTCTGATCCATATGTTTTTATAATGCAACAAATATGTATAACAGTTTTGAGTTGTAGATATTTTCTGCTTATTTGAAAATGCACTTCAAATAATATTTCAAGTACCTTTTGGAATAATTAGAAAACTTTTTAAGTCTCAAGTAGTACAAATGTTCTTTTTCTTCCTGTGACTTTTCCAATGATTCTCAACCTGTTTGTTTTGACCACTTTGAGAATCACATATCAGATATCACGTATATCAGATATTTACATTATGATCACAATAGTGAAAAATTAATGGGTTTTTTGGGTTTTTGGAGGGGGTGGTGGTCTTTCAAGACAGGATTTCTTTTGTGCAGCCTTGGCTGTCCTGGAATTATCTCTGTAAACCAGGAGACTGGCCTCGAACTCACAGATCTGCCTACTTCTGCCTCCTAAGTGTTGGGATTAAAATCATGTGTTAGCCACCTCACAGCCAAAATTACAGTTATGAAGTATCAATGAAATAATTTTATGGTTGGGGTCACCACAACAAGAGGAACTGTATTAAATGGGAGCAGCATTAGGTAGATTGAGAACCACTGTTCTAAGAGATTGCCATGCCATCTTTAGTTGTCGTCTTTTGGAGAAGGTGTACATATAAGTCAATATTTGTCTTCCATATAAATATAATAAAATACTATATGTCTGAAGTCCTTCAGGTCAAGAGTGTCTTTACTGCTTGTGTAAAGATGATAGTCTAGTAGAGATTAGACCATGAAATGATTACATAGTTACCAAGTGCTGATAATAAGTACCTACATGAAAAGCAGAGGATTCCTATGTGAATGAAACCTTGAGCTCCAACTTGAGTAGCTGTATGTAAGATATACTATGTGCCATTTCCAGCTATTGTTAGCTGTCACACATGCAGGAATGGGCTTCCGTGATGATGAGTCAATTCTGCTCCTGTAAAAAACCTTCACCTCTATTCTGTCAGCAATTCCTTATCTGGCTCTCTCTCTCTCTCTCTCTCTCTCTCTGTGTGTGTGTGTGTGTGTGTGTGTGTGTGTGTGTGTGTTTTGTCTCCCCAGAAAGTCTGTCACAAAAGATCATGTTGCAGAAATAGATACAACATGTAAGAACACATTCATGAATTTTTATTTACCTGTAGGAGGTCAAGAAAATAAGGCTGAAATCTGAAAGATGATAATGTTTTGATTAATGAATCTACAGTTTCAACAGCTTAAAGTTGCAAAATGGAGGCTTGAAAACCAGACTCATTTGACAAACATCTTCATGTATTTCATTTTCCCATGAAGCGAGAAAGAAAAAATGTGTTTGTGGGCACCAACAGCCAGATAATTTGGCATGTCTTATAAACTAATGCTCAGCATCTTTAATAAATTGCCTCAGAATCTAGACTAAAATCAAACAAAAATTTAAAACTTGCCTTTGTTTTATGCAAAATTTTCTTTAAGTCTATAAATATTGAGAGTTACAAAATAGAACACATTACTATCCCAATAATCCTTTTCTATTACATCATGTATTACAGACCACATACAAAGTCACAGTATATGAAGTGAGATTGATGAAATTTGTCAGTTTTCCATTTCAACTTTGAAAGACAGTGTATGGCTTCTCTTTGATTAATTTTTCATCTTCAAAATAATAGATCAAAATGCAATGAATATTTTGTGAGTGAGATTCAAAGAAAGATATATTACATTGAGATGAGATTGTACTGAGAAACAAAGAGAGACAATTTAGTTAAAAACAGAACAACAGTAAACAAACAGAAGTACATGTCACACCATTTTCAACCTGGTCTTATGTATCTTTGTTGGAAACTTACTTTTTAATAAAAGGAATCAACCTAGACTTAGAGGCTTCTTATATCATTAGAAGTTTGTGGCACAGGATCTTCTACAGTTTTATTTGGTGTACTTATTTACAACCCATTTTAAAGATAAATAAGTATATAGTCATCAAAGTAATTATCTCTCTTACTGACGTTTGTACTTAAAAATCAGAATTTTAAATCATAGAAAAATAGACAAGTCTCACTTCCAATCCACATTGTTGACTCATGTATAACAGTCTTCAAGTTCTTATGATATACTTTGTCTTCCATGAGACAAAGGGGGGTTTTCCAAGACATTGGTGTATATGGTCCTCAACTGTACTATATTAGACATTTGATTTAATTATATGTATAATTTAAGACTTTTAAATTGAAAATAAGGATATGTTTTCCAGAAAATTAAGTTGAATAATTGGAAAAATATGATAATGATGAGCAACTTCAAAAACTGTTCTATTGCACTGATTTGGAGCCTACTCCAAGAGAGGAATGATCATGCCTTATAGTGTAACAGAGTCAGAGCCAGGGCCTAGGGAAGTCACATGCCCAGAGGGAGAACATATTGATGTTGTTTTGTTAAATGTTCAAGTTGTGAAACTGTCTCATAAATATGTGTTTACCACTGTAGATTTGTGCTTCTTCCAACCACACTCAGAAAAGCTTCTTATTATAGTGGGTGGTAAGCAATGCAGACATTATTGTTCAAGGTTATAGTGGGTGCCAATCAATGGAGATTCTTATTGATCAAAGTGCTGAGAACAACTGACTTGGCATGCTCAGCCATAGATGGGATGTCTGTGCAACCATTTCACTATGGCTCAGGAATAATGGGAAGGAGTACTGTGAAATGCAGTCATTTAGACATGGCATGACTGTTGAATGTATGAACTTACAGCATCAGTGGTTACCTTCATAGCCAATACAAGATCTATGTTAAGATTAGGCCAGTTAAAAAGTTTCAGCATGGAGAGATGAAGAGCTCCTGAGATCTTATCTGTAAATGGATTACTTAATTGGTCTAAGTAGTAAAATCCCAGAGTCAGAGAGAGAGGAAAATGCTGAGAGATCAGAGAGAAGGTGCAAGGCACTCCCATACCTTACCTCTTGTTTCTCCCTGCTTATATTCTGTTTCCAACCTGTTATCTCACTTCCTGTCTGTCTGTACAGACCTCCAGACCCCTGTGATTAGATAGTGGCAAGCTCCATTCTCTGACCTTCAGACAGACTTTATTTGTATAAGCAAGATATCATCACACTTATCAATAGCAGTTGAAAGATCTTGGGTAGCCATCAATTGGTACATTTTGTATGGTCCAGTGGGTAATCCCACATCCATTTGCTTATGGGAAAAAGTAATTGAACTTTGTGTATTAAAATAGATAAATACTATGAAAGGAGAACATAAACTACAGAAAGAGATTAGATGAAAACTCCTGTGAGTTGTTGAAGGGGAGAGGGAAGAGTAGACATGATCAAGATACATCTTACATATCTATAAAATTTCAAAAATTTCAGCCTTGTGTGTGGGCATATGCCTGTAATTGTCACATGTACTACACTGAGGTAGGAACATCTCTAATCAAAGGCCAAAATAAGTTAAAAAAACAAAATGAGCTTGTCTCAAAAAGCCCAAAAAAGTTAACTACATAAATATAGGTTTACTTATAGCAAAAAAAAATTATGATAAAAATTTAAGCAACTTTACCAGAAAGTTGTTTTCTGTGCTGTCTTGAGTCACTAGTGCACTGTGAAAACTTAAAGCAGAGGTCCCTATATTAAGCTACCAAAGATGACAAAGAATTTAGGTATCTGCAAATGTCTCAAACTAGAATCTGACTCCTTCCAAAGCAACTAGTAAATAAAATATGCATTTTTATATTTTCATCGAAGATAAATGATGGGGAATATTCTTCTGTGTATGTGTTTGTTTTATTGGTTGATGAATAAAACACCATGGCCAACAGGGCAGCAAGATAGGTGGGACTAGGATATGAGGAGGATTCTGGGAAATGTAGACAGAGAAGAGTCATCATGTGATCCCAAGAAGTGACATAGCTGGGCAGAAACTGACACTAGCTAACCATAGAGGTCTGGAGATTTGTACAGATAGGCATGAAGTGATGTAGCTTCCCAGAATAAGAATATAAGCAGGGACAAACAGTAAATCTGTCTCTTCTCTGTGGAGATGTAGCAGGCAAAGGAGTTGCAGATTCAGCATTCCCTGAACACCTGGAAATACATAGATTAAAAGCTATGGGTTAATTAAAACAGAACTAGCGAAATAAGAAGCCACAGTAACTGGAGAACAGTTTCATAATTAACATAATCATCTGTGTGTTTTATTTGGGGCTCAAGGGCCTCGGGATTCACCAGGCAAGAAAACTCATGTCACAGATAAAAGTATTGAAAATTGTGACTCTTCTTTAATTCGTTATTTTAGTCTAACATTTTATTTTTATTCTTTCTTCCCTTCATTCCTAATTTACTTTTAATACATTTTTAAAAATAGAATGTGATCACTTTCCCCTTTTTCTTTACTTTCCAGTCACTCCTGTCTGTAATCCCTCTAAACCTCCCATGCCTTCACACTCTCATATTGATATCAAAATAGTTTTCTTGTATTATTATTGTTACATACATTAATATACATTTTTGAATTGACACTGTTCACTCATTCTAGTAGAAAAAGACAAGTGACCATCTTTATAGAGACAGAGTTTGTTCTATGCTTGGATGCAGAAAGGTACTAGAGAGAGAAAGTATACTTGATGTATCCCATCTGAAACATGCACATTAAACTTTTTAAGGTAATCATAATGGCATTTCAACACCAAATGTCCATTATGTACATGGATTCAAGATGATCTTAAACCAAAGCTTTGAACATGCAATTTATGTTTTGAAACAATATAAGAAGATAAAGATCATTCAGTTAAGAAAAATTCCTCTACACTTATCATGATTTCCCCACCAATTAACTACATCTAATATATGCTATGAAATTTATTAACATTCAAGAGTCATGCTTTCCCAGAAAAGCATGTAACCCCAATATGTGCCCAGTCCTTTAAGATATTTTTCATAGTGGTTATGAGGACTGAAATTGT